TTGTTTTTTTTTTTTTTTTTTTTTTTTTTTTTTTTTTTTTTTTTTTAGTAAAAAGGTATGTATGCATGTTAATCTTACAACTCGGTGAATATTACTACAGTCTTGTTTTATTTGAGGGGCAGGAGAATGGAGGAAGGAAAAAAATAACCTGTCAGTGAGATGAAGTACTTACCCACTTGATAAATATGAGTTTCTTTCTCTTACAAAGGTACCTCCCTCTGCAGGATATCATGTGTATGGAATGTCTTTCCCGGAAGCTAAAGGAAGCAGTCACCCTATATCTGAGAGTTGTGAGGGTAGTGGATCTTTGTGCAGGGCGATGGTGGGAATACATGCCAAGTGGTAAGTAAATTTAGCCTGTAATGTACAGTGGAGCCCCACTGGAAACTACTAATAATGTTCCCATCAAAAGCTACTTGTTACTTTGGGATAGGCAATCTAGGCACCTTGTAGGTAGGGAGGCAGGATTTTATCTAAATTTTTTAGGTTAGTTTAGGTTGATGAAATGAGTTTTGCCTGAGGCTTTACTGTTTTAGTGGTCTGTTTTCATTTCCTACTCCTTAAGAAAGTACATCAGTCTATTCCACAAATATATGATTGGAGAATACATATTGAGACTTTGATTAGCTAAGTATATGTCTATCACATTTGACAAAGTGTCCTTTCTTCCATGATGCAGGTTTTCATGCACCCTCTGGTTAAACAGATATTTATCAGTTTTTGTAAAGCTGCTGTAGTTGTAGGTCACAGAAATTGCACTTCTGGAACTTTCATTTCTTTAGCACTTTTAAAAGGCCTGTGCTAGGTCTTGGAGATTTCTCAAATAATGCATTGGCCTTGCATGTGAAGAACTCAAAGTTAGTACCCTAACCACAACAAATGGACCTCAGGTAAGGAGACCACCAGAAAAGAAAGTTCATGACTTTAGTTAAGCAGAGCACACCTCAAAGGGGAGAAATAATATTAAGGGCTAATCAGGCTTCTTTTCAGTTAACACCAATCTGTTAATTATTCCACTTTAGTTAATGTTGTTTAGCAATTTTGAATATCTTTTTAAACTACCTTTCATCAGCAATATTCAGATCCTGATATTTTGAAAATGTGATGAAGCTGTGGTGCTGGGCAAAGGGGAGGGGTCCTTAATAGAAGTGAAGGGCTGAGGAGATAATTATCTTCTTCTGTTCTATTGTGTGGAACAGAACAGACTGCCTCTGAAATACTGAGATATTGTACAGTTTGGGGTGCTACATAAGCTTTCAAGAGGGTCATCAGTCAACTGATAACTCTTATCAGTTGGCCGGAGTTTTCACTATATCTTTTTGTGAAGAACATTGCAGAGACTTGAGGCTAGAATGGGAAGCAAAGCACATTTGTCTTCAAATACTTTAAAGAAACTATCGTAAGGGAAAAGCATTCATCATACTGCAGAGACAGCAGGAAAGAAAAAATCAGGGCAATGTGAAAAGGACTGTCATTTCTTTTATTAGATTTTCTTTAATGGAGGTTAGGCCAGTAGGAAATATGGACATGGGGTTAACGCACTACATAAAGAGATAGGATAGCAGAGCTCCCATGTGGTGCAATCTTACAATTAAAATCTCTGCCCCGTATCAAATTAGAGAAGAATTTGTCTGCACATTGCTGGCTTCTTTTAGACTGTGATAAATACCTGTGAGCCCAAGACTTCCCATCACTGCAACAAATATAAAAGAGAGTCAGAGCAAAGTCTCTATAGCCTAGAATAAGGTCTTACTAACCCTGCTTTGCTAATGCCACCTTTGTCTGGTCTCTGGAGTTTATAGCCTGATTCTCTATATAATAATGCTAAATAAGGTTTTTATATAGCACTTTATGGTTTACATATATGATCTCCTTGGACTCTCACACCATCTCTGTAAAGAAGGTGGAGAGAGGCAACGTGTAATATACAACAAGAGAGGATGGACATTGGCAAAGGTCACATTCATTTTTTACATTTTTAAATGTGAGAGTAGATATGTAAAATGGTTAACACATTGAATCGTTTCGTAGAGTTACTGTATAAGACAATAATAAGGACTGTTATTATAATTAGAGAGACCAGGTAATCTCTTGAGGTCCCTTCTTACTCTTCATTTTTTTTGTGAATCTGAAGCTAACATAGCATCTAGACTAGCCCTGTACAAGTAGAACAACTTTTGAAAACTGTAGTAAGACTTAATGGTTTGGGACTTCATTTTTATTCTTGAAAATTAATATTTTTATTTATCATTAGTGAGTAGACAGTTAGCTTTCTGGTGGCCTCCATTAAAAACAAAAAGTAAGATAATAAAGTATCATCAGTATGAGACTTATCTCCTTACCGCACCAGCAACTTGTACTGTGGAAGTAACCTGTATCTTTCTCTTCCCATCTGGTTGTTTCCCACTGTGGAGCACAGCTGGCCTCTCAGATAAATAGTTTTCTGTCAGTTCAGCATCCTCGTAGTTTGGATTGCTTATGCTCTCTTAGCTAACTTGCATCCGTCTTTTTCAAAAGAATGAATTGTCTAAAATGTCCTGGGAATGATAGTTAAACACAGGATAAAGTAATGATTGGGAAATGGGTAACTAAGAGAATGCAGTTTGAGATGGGATTTGGGTTAGAACTGTGAGCTTCCTGAAGATGGGGATCCTATCTTACTTATTTTTTTAGTTGTGACCTCTATAGAGCCTAGAGGTTTTATGGACCAGAGAGTACCTTTCAGGGAGGAGGGTGGTGGCCAGAAAGGTTGTCCGTCCTCACACATCAGTCAAGTAGGTCCAAGTCATCTGGGTTAAAAGTGTGTTGTTTTTAGTTGAAGATTTATGTGCCTTAAAAGCAGAAGCAACAACAAAAAAGAAAATAGTAAATTAAAAGTTTCAGCTGTAAAGTATCAACTCAGAATAAGTGGTGTTCCTGACACATTTCCTCTGTTACTAAGGGAAATCTTTTCTGTTTAACCATTTGTTCAGCTGTAGTGTTAGCCTTATGAAAATTTAAAAAGGAAATCTCTTTTTCTGTTGTTGTTTTAACTTTTGATAAAAATTACAAGTGCCTATACATTCTGACCAACAGAAAGATGAACTTGGCTCTAAATACTTGTGAACTTCTTAGGCTTCACAGATTCCAGTTTTCTGACACTATTGAAGAAGATGCCAGATGTTGAACAGCTATATGGCCTTCACCCTAGATACCTTGAGAGGCGAAGGGTACGGGGCCACGAGGCTTTTAGCATTCCAGGAGTTCTGGAAGCTTTGCAGGCATGCCCGAACTTAGTGGTGAGTGCACCTGGTTGAACATTTGACATCAACTAATTGATGAAATATTAAATTAAAAGAATGATAGAACATGTTCAGTCACATGAAAATTTCATCCACAACGAACTTTTAAGTTCCACTGCATACTTAGCATCTTATGATACAGAAATAGAAGCTTTGGATGCTAAATTAAAAGCCTTTCTTGTGTTTGCTTTGGCATTATTCTGTAGGGTGTGGAAACTTCTCATTTGGAATTGGTAGAATCTATTTGGACATACATGCCACATGTTCATATTTTGGGGAAGTTTCGTAATCGTAATGGAGCATTTCCAATTCCTCCTGAAAATAAACTGAAAATTCCTGTAGGAGCCAAAATCCAAACTTTACATTTAGTTGGTAAGTACATGTTTCTTGGGTTGCTTGTGACTCCTTGAAATGCCATACAGCTGAATATTCACTGAAAGGGAACAATGAGGATTTTAGAAACGGCTTTGCTGATTGATGATGGCAAAAGAAATGCTTGTGAGACTTGTATACAATTTTAGATTTCCCATTAAAGGGCCCCAGGGAGTGGGGGGTTGGCGGCAGACAGGTAGGTGAGAGAACTACTATTTCACAACCAATCTGATCCCGTTTTGATAGGCAGTTTGGGTAGTTTTGAAAGTTGTTGGGGTTTTTGTGGTTTTGTTTTTTGTTTCTTTTTTGAATGAGCCAGAACCCTGCCCTTGTTCTCAGACATCCACCTTTTGCTCCTAGTTCTACCCTCTAGAGGAGAGTTCTCTAGTACAGCCTTCTGTGGTGATAGAAACGTCCTATATTTGTACTATCACATATGGTACCCACTGTAGCCAGTGAAACAGAGGAACTGAATTTTTAAATTTTATTTTATGTTTATCAAATAGCCACATGTAGCTAGTGGCTACTTTATTATCCTGCTCAGCTCTAGAACATCACAGAATAAAAAATCTTAGATAACTCTAAGTTTACTTGTATCTTCTCCAAGCAGGCCCCTCTTTCTTCAACCCAGAGCTGATGGAAAACTTTGCCACTTCCCTTTTTCCTGAGAAATGGAGAGGGAATGGTCTTTTTCCAAAGGCACCTTATTTGCAATGGTCACAGTGTGCATTCTCCATCTAAATATTCTCTGAAATTGTATCCTAATAATTTCAACCTAAGTAAATGATAAGAACAGATATTTTCTCAAATTTAATTTGTCATCTTTGGCTTAGGTTGCTGAAAGGAATTTTGGGGGACTTCTGTTGCTATAGTCTGACTATTAATATTTATTAAATATTTTCTTTAAAATATACATATTGAGTATCTCCTGTACCTTATTCCAGGTATTGGGGATGGCCCTGAAGAACTGGCTATTTCTGAAACTGGGTCAGGTGCTGAAGGGAGAGCAGCAGGGATGATAAGGACTAGGTCTTAAATAAGTCTTAGATGTGCAATTATGGGAGAAGAGCAAAGCTCTCTCTCTAGCAACCCTTCATTTACAAGATCGAGTAGTGGTTCTGATGAAGGAGTTGGATATCTAGTTTGAATTCGGACTTTTAGATAATAAAGGGATTCTATAATATCTAAAGTTTATAATACAAGCTCTGTAAAGTCAGAGACTATTTTTATATCTTTATATTTTCCGTGATGCCTGTCACAGTTCATTGCAAATATAATAAGTACTTGGTAAATTTTGTTGAAATGCATTTAATTCATTTGATTAATTCAGCAGTTTAACACTGTTTTGGTGATACAGATGTGTATAGTAAATTACTGAAAATGCTGGGGAAGACAGGTAATTGTGTCCTCTGTTTATAGAATGGATTTGGGGTAAAATGTGGATTGGGCATAGAATATAACTGTCTTGTCTGGATCTGTCTCACCCTTGCTACCCTTGGGTTTCCTAGTCGGAGCGACCACCATCATGGTAAATGCTAAATGTACCTTTGTGAGTTTTGCATCTTGAGTCCCAATCTGTACCTCACTTCTTCTGCTTTTCTTCCTTTGGACTAATCCCCATTTAGTACAGTGTTTATGCATAGTTCAGTACTAAAGCCAACTACGTTTTTTTGCGTGGACCAGGTTAAGGAGTAACCCTTATAGTAGGAGCATTCTGCAGAATTTAGCTTTCAAAGAACCAACAATTTAAGTACTCCCAATTTTGCTTTCTCTAGTTGCTATTGCTAGCAGGGCTTCTACTGACTCAAGGTTAAAAGTTATATTAAACTGGTTTTGCCAGCTACTGCTTTTTAAATGCCATCACCCTGGATCCTTGTATTTCTCTCCGAGAATTGTGTCACTTCTTGGCTGTTCCCTAGTCTACAGTATTTAGACTCTTGGACACGTTCCTCAAACTGCTTCGTACCATAAGAATTTTCAAGTTACCCAGTGCTCTGTCTCCTTCCATATCTCCTGACTTATCCTCCCACTCTACATCCCCTTTCTTCCAGAAATGGTCCTCTGCACGTATGATTCCTAGTAACTCTGGAAGAGTTAGAGTTGCAAGAAAAACTTGTGTGTATAAAATGTAGAAGTACTTTTAAAATCCCATCTTCCCATATGCCTTTTCTAAAGAAATAATAGTCTGTTTATTGTGTTCTTAAATTGTTCTTTACAAGCCTGTTTTAAATAAGCTTATCTTCCTACGTGTTAATTAGGTAATTTGTTCTGATGAAAATATACAGGAAGGATATATTGTTAACTTGAAAAATAGACTCTTGAACTTATACACAGAATACAGTCTTTTAGTGGTTTTCTTGTTTTTTATTTTTTTGTATATATGCTTTAGGGGTGAATGTTCCTGAAATTCCTTGTATCCCAATGCTAAGGCACCTTTATATGAAGTGGGTAAGACTCACTAAACCACAGCCATTCAAAGATTTTCTTTGCATCAGCTTACGAACTTTTGTCATGAGGAACTGTGCAGGTAAGGGTACATAGTTGTGGTGGAATTATACACATACTATTCTAAAAATGTCCTAAAGCAAACTCCATAGCTACATTTGTAAGTGAAATTATATTATGCTATTACTGTTTATGTTTGTAACTTACCTTATGAAGGTAAATGTACTTTTTGTTTTAAAGACAGTAGACATATGATTTGTCTTTGACCCTTAGCAGAAAAAATAAGGTGTCAAAATGTCTCTACATATTTCTTATAGGCACTTTTTATAGGATTGTTTTAATAAATTTGTTTTACTTTCTTTGTCTCTGGCCTCCTGATCATTCTGCATGTAAATAGTTGTCTGACCTAATCTACCTTAAAGCATAAAACACTGCTTTTATGATACTACTTTTCTGTTCTGAAACCTTCAGTACTTCTGTTGCCCTAGTGTGTCAAGTGGGAACTGTTCTGCTTCAGAATTCATAATACCCAGGGCCCCTCTTGATATCCTTATTTCACACTCCTTTCTAAGGTACTCCTTTTATTGTCAGGCCTGCCTACTCACTGTTCCCAAACAGCCATACCGGCTTTCGCCTGAGTGTTTTTCCATATTATTGTTTCCTTGTCCTGAGGTTTACACTTCCTTCTTCCTCTTCACTTGTATACATTTTTTAAGTTTTGTTCTTCAAACTTTCTTTTTTCTTTTTTATGTAGTATATCGGATCTTATTTTTGTACCTGATATGTTCTGCCTTTTTATCTTTTTTATAATTATTTATGTTAGTTTTATGTTTGCGTCAGTTGCCAGCTCTTTGATGGATAGGATCCTATCTTTTGTAATCTTCCATAACACCTAATATAACACTGGTCACATAGAGAGATGTTTAAGTCATTGAGCTGTTTGTTAGAGTGAAGGATCAAATTTTCAACTTGCCTTTTCCCCTTATTTATTTTGAGCTCAAAACTATTGAAACTTCAGGGAATTTACAAAAAATACTAAATCTCCAACGTTACTGAAAAATCCTTATGCTGAATAAGTATGTGGTTAACAGACTAATACTCTTTCCAATGAGAAGTATAAATTGCAGAGAGCCAGCCACTTGGCTGTCATTTTCAGACATAGAATTTATAAGTTATTCATTTCAGTTGCTGATTTGAAAAATCATCTTTACAATTTACATTGTTCCATTGAAATTGTCTTTCTCCAGGACCCACAAACTCCTTGAAATATGTCCCTTTAGTAACAGGCTTAGCCTCTGCCCGCAACTTGGAACATTTGGAAATGGTTCGAGTTCCTTTCCTTGGAGGTCTTATCCAACATGTAGTTGAAGACAGTTGGAGATCAGGTATTCATTTTCCTTTAGTTACTAAATATTTTTAAAAATCAGTTTAGGGCTTCCCTGGTGGCGCAGTGCTTGAGAGTCCGCCTGCCGACGCAGGAGACGCGGGTTCGTGCCCCGTTTCGGGAGGATCCCACGTGCCGTGGAGCGGCTGGGCCCGTGAGCCATGGCCACTGAGCCTGCGCGTCCAGAGCCTGTGCTCCGCAAATGGGAGAGGCCACAACAGTGAGAGGCCCGCATAATGCAAGAAAAAAAAAAAATTAGTTTAAAATTTATTAAGCTTTTATTTAGCTTCTCTTCTGAGTCTTTATAAAAGAAAATGCTTGTTAGTAATTGTACTTTCTGTCTGGTGTATTTAGTGAAGAATAAGTAACCATGAGTGTGGCCAGTACTCATTTCCTTTTTATGCAGTGTTAAACCTTCTCAAAATAGTAGAGTGATAAGGCCTGTTTTCTGGCTTGTTAATACTTATTGCTTAGTTAATAACTCATGTTATATTTGGACTCTTTCTGAGAGATGTTAACAGAGATATCCTAGTGCCTTTTGCTGGGAAGAGATGTTTTTTGACTTAGACAACTTAGTTCTACAGAAGAACTTAGGCATTAGTAATGTTAATCTAACATTTGCTTAATACTTATAGTATATAAAATGTTTTCATGTTTATCAGTTGGATATTAGGTCCATCCATCAGATGTTGGCTTTTAAAAGAAAAAAAGATTTTACTTTCTAGCTCCCATAATTATATTTTAAATGATCATATGTAGCATAACATGCTCCACGTTAATTATCTCCTCACTGCAACAAAAAGACCAAGAAGTTTAGCTATATAGATAATTAATAGTTGGGATCAGAAAATGTAACTGTGAATATCCAAAATATAAATGAAAAATTATCTAGTACCATTGGTAACAAATAGACATTATCATTTTTAATACTGTTAAAATATGAGTAAGTACATTTTTAGCATTTTGTCAGTTAATCAAGTCTGGTACAAGTGCACTTCATTAGATTGTGTGAAGGGGATGGAGACTTCCTCAAGATCAACAGCATAATTTTTTTTTTTTTTTTTGCGGTACGTGGGCCTCTCACTGTTGTGGCCTCTCCCCGTGGGGGGCACAGGAGCACAGGCTCCGTGGCCATGGCCCACGGGCCCAGCCGCTCCATGGCATGTGGGATCCTCCCAGACCGGGTCACGAACCTGTGTCCCCTGCATCGGCAGGCGGACTCTCAACCACTGCGCCACCAGGGAAGCCCAACAGCATAATTTTTATTCCATGGCTCTAGCTAACAGGATAAAATCAGAAAGGAAAAGAATGCTTGGTGTTAGTTTATTTACCTCTTGTAAAAATAAAAAGTAAAAAATAAATTTAAAAAATGAAAGGAAAAGAAGACCACAGTGCAGTCATTCATTAGAAGACCTGGAGAGAGGTACCAAAAGCTAAGAGTTTGCATAAAGGGCCTAAAAGAGCAGCAGAGACTTTTCTTCCCTAATAAGCGTTTAAGAATGACTCCACCTTATATTTTACTTAAGGAGCCAGTATACCTCACACAATAGTTAATTCCAGATGAGTCATAGATCCAAATGTAAAAAATACAGTTTTTAAAAGAAAACTCAGGAGAACGTCTTCTTGACCTCTGGTAGTCAAAGATTTCTTAAATAGTATACCAAAGAACACTTACCATAAAGAAAAAAATTGGTAAACTGGGCTAACGATTTTTTTGTTCATCAAAAGGCATGAGTAAGAGAGTAAAAAGCCAAGCTATAGAGTGGGAGAAGCTATTTGCAATACAGCTAACAGACAAAGGACTTGTATCCAGAAAGAACTAAAATTAGAAAAAGTCAGAAAACACAATAGGAAAAATGGGAAAACATTTTGAATAGAAAAGATTTCACAAAAGAGGATATCTAAATGGCCAGTAAACATGAAAACATGATAAATTTCACTAATCATTAGGGAAATGCAAGTTAAAACCACAATGTGATATACAAGCACTAAAATGATTACGCCTAAACAATTATCATCTAAAGTATGTAGAAATGCTTTACTGACAGTGCTGTGGTCAAATGGAACACTTATTGTTTTTGTTCCTTTAACTAGGTGGTTTTAGAAATTTGCACACTATTGTTTTGGGAGCTTGCAAAAATGCACTTGAAGTAGATCTTGGTTACCTCATCATCACTGCTGCCCGTAGGTATGTTTCCTCTTCACATTGTTTCTTTTGTCTTAGAATTATGTTTTTTCCTGTTTTATAAAAATTGGTGGGAATATGTGTTTGAAGTTTGAGCATGCCTTTTTCAGATTTAAAATACAAAGGAGTTGTTTAAATAGCAGTAGGTTATCACTTAGTGGGAGTCTTCTGTTACAACTGATGACCAACTGAGCTGCATGCCAGACCTAGCAAGCTTTGAATGGGCGTGGTCTCATCAGAGAAAAGCAGTCAATTATCTGGAAGTGCCTGAGACTCCAACAGAAGTCAGCATTGATGCTTTGGTGTCAGCAGCCCGCTCAGGAGCCATTGTTTTAACCTCCAGATGGTTTTCCCAGTTGTTTTAGTTAGTTGGTGATAATATTTGCTATTCAGAAATCAGTGTTCTAAGTCAGCTTTTTCAGAGTCCTGACCTTTAACATCTTTATATTTTTAACCTATTTTCACATCACTTTATGCCATGTTTATTATTTCCTACATATCAAAAGTCTACCTCTACTTTTACTTTTATAATACTTAAATTGAATTAACCATTTTTCAATTTATTAAAAAACAAAACTCTTACTTTCCATCAGTAGAATATTAAGAATATAAATAAAACAAGACTGTATCTAAGTTTAAGTGAGTAAATATTGTTACTTACTATAGAACTATACTCTCTGCTTAAATGGGACTTAATACTAGCCTAAAAAAGATATTAAAGAAATGCCAGATGCAGATTCTTGCCTTGACTTAATCAGGTTTAAGAAAGTACCAGAAAGGATATAAGATTATAACAGTGTAACTCATTATTATTTACTGTAACTTCAGTGTACACATAAGGCGTGTCTGCACTTTATAAAATACTCTTTTAAAGGAAACATCTGATATTTTTTAGTGGAGGGGGGAAAGTTGTTTGCATTTGACACTTCAGTAAGATAAACTTCTTTCAGAGCCTTACATTAGGAAGTACCTTTGATTCTGATGGCTTTCATTTTACTTTTATATGTATCTCTTTGTTCATAGGTTACATGAAGTTCGGATCCAGCCTTCCCTAACCAAAGATGGCGTCTTTTCTGCCCTGAAGATGGCAGAGTTGGAGTTCCCCCAGTTTGAAACCCTTCATCTGGGATATGTAGATGAGTTTTTGCTGCAGAGTAAGAATTATCTCATTTAATCCCTACAATTGTTGTCAGGAACTTACTTGACAAAGTGAACTCTGAATTGGGATGTGCCATTATTTTCTTGAATATAAAACAGCTTAAAATCTTAGGTGCTGTCACTTCTTGAAAAATTTAAACTTGTAGTGTCAGTGATTTTTTTCTTTCTATATTGCCTCTGATTTTAGCATATTATAGAAAGTGTAGTGATTGTCTACCCCAAAACAGATCCTTATTTACATTTGATATTGTCTCGCCTTTGCTCCCCAAGTTTCTTTCCCATTCTGCTTCATTTTTTTCACAGAATGTCATCCCTGGTTCCATTTGTTGAATTTGATCTGCCACACTTCTTGAAGCTTTTGATGGTCCTCTCTGATGAGGTCCCATTCCCTGCCCATGCTCTTCATTTCTGTAATAAGCCCACTGGGGGTTCTGGATTTTCCAGATAGTGTGAGCACATAATGGTCAGTATTCGTTTAATGATGATTGCTGTTGGAAGGCTTGTTCACAGCATTTTCTGGAATGTATTTACAATTGGGAACTCATTCCTTTGGGTTTGAATGCATGTCAATTCATTATTCATACTTTTTTTCCACATGACATTAGTCAGACATGCGAAAACATTTACACCTTCAGCATGTTTTTATTTTTGCAAGAATTAGTTTCTTACCCATGTAATTTGTAACAAGTCTTCTTAAACTCTCATTGTCATACCAGATGACATTTTTTCTTTGGATCTAATTTGCATTGTAGAAGAACATAAGAAGTCTTAATTCTTCTTAGTCTAGATCAAACAATATGACTTGTTTGTCCCTTTTCATTTCTGATATATGTCACAATAATAGTTGGGGTTTTTGTTTTTACTTTGTTGCAGTTCTCATCAATACAGGTGAAGCATTAAAAAAAATCAAAGCATTATTTTCTAGCCTTTTTAACACAGGAATCATTTTTAGTCTATATAGCTTTGAAAAGATCAGCTTTTTACCAATGTAGCTTTAAAATGCTAAACTAGCATAGTAATTTCAAATAAAATTAATGTATTTGGTATCAGGCTTTTCTGGTTTTCAGTGAAGTTGCTAACATTCTGTTTCTATAGTATCTGTGTAGTAACTTAAGATTATTAGCTTGGTAATTGGTGTTTTTTTCTACGGTCTTGTTTTTTGTTTTTCTCGAAAGCTAAAAACGTGACAAATTTTGTATTTTCATGATTGCCACCTTTAGGCCCACTGAAAGAATGTCTTTGAGAATTATCTTTAGAACCAGCTATTTCCCTATAGTGTTTCTTTCCTCTCAACACACATTTTCAATAGAAAAACACTTTACCTTTTTTGGGGGCTGCATTGGGTCTTTGTTGCTGCGCACAGGCTTTCTCTAGTTGTGGCGAGCGGGGGCTACTCTTCGTTGCAGTGCGTGGGCTTCTAATTGCAGTGGCTTCTCTTGTTGCAGAGCACGGGCTCTAGGCATGCAGGCTTCAGTAGTTGCAGCTCAGTAGTTGTGGCGCACAGGCTTGGTCGCTCTGCAGCACGTGGGATCTTCCCGGACCAGGACTCGAACCCATGTCCCCTGCATTGGCAGGTGGATTCTTAACCACTCCGCCACCAGGGAAGTCCCAACACTTTACCTTTTGACTACCATTATCTCGTTTTTCAACGTAACTTGTTTCATAGACTCCTTAATATTTAATAGTCTCTTAGCTTTGATTTTTTTTATAAGCCATTCTTCATATTTGTTGCAGTTCATCCATTTCTCCTGTATACGTACTCTCCTCTGTTACTCCAAAGACAGTCTGGGATTCTCTGTATGAAAATAGGTGCCAGGTGTGTCTAACAGACTATGTAGAGAGGAATGAGAGGTCACTGCTTATACTCTTTCACTTAATCTCTTGCTTCTCAGCCACTTAGATTTTGAAGCATCTCTCCAGGAGGTTAGGGTGGCTCCTGGTAAAACTTGCACCAATTCTTTGTTACAAAGGTTCTGGCAAAATATAAATAGAAACATTACCTTTGTCCCCATACACTTATCGTAAAAGTGACAGTGCCAGACTGGGGAAATGGGTGTGCTGAAAAGTAGATGCTGTGTACTGGTAATATAAGAAAAGTGATCCAAGGATGAATACTTAGGGGTTCTTTGTTTACACAGATTCATGATTTCAGAGATTCATGTGAAGGTGATAGGCATGTAAAACTCATTCAGATCCAGAAGCAGTATAGAGTAGTCTTTAGGGCTGGGGCTTTGGAAAGAGGGAGTGAGATGGAAGTTCATTAATCATGGGACCTGGGGCAAGTTATTTCTTGGGTTCAAACCACCCAATAAAAAAGTGGGAAACGGTCTTATCTCCACTTAACAAATGAGAAAACATGGTATTTTATTATTACAATCTCTTACACTTAGAAAGCATTCAGTGAATGGTAGCTTTTACTTTTAGCTGACCTCTGGGCTGAATCAGAAAGAAACAATCTGAGTCCTAGGTGATGTCATCAGGGTTTTGAGGGAGTGTGATGATCAGGAGACCCTAAGAGCAGGAACAGTTCTCAAAGGAATGAATGTAAGACATAGATTTATCATGCTAGGCTGTAGCAATTATTCTGACAACACCTTAACTGGGATCAGTTCAAAATCTACCTGATCATTAGGGAGAAGGCAAATTTTAAGTCCAAAGGGCAAGAAAGAAGTTTTTACCAGGAGACTAAAGAAAATTGCTCAGAAAAATTATGAAAAATTGGTTAAGGTGAAATCTCCAAGAAATGCCAGTAAATACAAAAAACAGGGACTCTAGGAGAGAGACCATGACCTATATGGAAAGTGAAACTGGAAGAGTTGGGAGTAGACTGGTTGTTTTAAACATGTCCAGGCTAAAGGTATGAATCCCTGCCCTGAAGGGCAGGGCAGCTTGTCCAGAGCACCTGTTTTCTTTGTATTTTATGTCAGTTGATTGCAAGGACCATGAGAGACATTTATTGGGTTCCTGTATCATAATATCCCAGCATTATGCTGGACATTGAAAATGTAACTATAAACTAACTAGGCAGAGTCCCATTTTCCTTCACATTGCTCATAGTCAAGTGGACCATTCTGTAGAGCAAAGGCCAGGCAGGTGGCAGGAATAATGATAGGAAGCAAGGGATAAGGTGTGATTTCTAGTAGCATAATCTAGAATGGAGGATCCTTTTACTAAACCCACTCCCTAGTCTGTGACAAGACAGTAGGCACTAAAGCCCAAGGGCAAAAGAGTGGGTGTATGTGTGAGTTAAAAGTCCACTTTCTGAGGTTAGGTACATACTTACTAACCTATACATGGTTCTAAAAATGAATCTGAATTTCAAAGTGTACTCTTCTCTATACATGGCCACACCCGACTCCAAAAACATTATCCTTATAGAGTGAAAGAGTTACATTTTTAAGATTTTATTTTTCTTTTTAAAAGCTTAAACTTCACCATAAATGTAAACCAATACAGTTTATCCCTCAGTTTTGCTTTAAGACTTTGCCTTCTTTTTTCCTTTTCTAAACAATTGAAAATAATCTTTTCTTACTAGCTGTCCCTTAACTTTTAACATAAATTTTTATTTTGCAAAATAAAGGCTACCATTTGTACAGAATACCTAACCTAAAATTGTACCTGAACCTGAACCTGATGATGGAGAGATGACGCCGGATGATCATAGAGACTGATCATACTGGATGTTAAAATAAATAATTGGCAACCTTTTTTAAGAACCTTTAAGAACCTTTAAGAACCTTTTTTTGTTTTTTAAATCAATTTCTCTTTCTAGGCAGAATGGCTAATGCAGATCTCGTGAAGTATGGTTTGGCTGATGTGGTAGAAAATCCTGGTATCATCACTGATATAGGGATGAAGGCAGTCAATGAAGTTTTTTCCTGTATCAAATATCTGGCAATTTATAATTGCCCCCATCTACATAACCCATACAATTGGATCTCAGGTACTGTGTGCTTAAGTGCGGCTCTATTTTATTAATGTCAAAATAATATGTATCTTTGTTTTCTGTGTGTGTCATGAATTAACATTCCTGATATAAAATATAGACATTTTATATGGATCATTCATAGAAGTTCTGGGAACCTTTGATAACTGAGTTGGAAATATTTTCAGTGCCTCTTTGAACTCCTGCCTAGAAATTTGCACTGTCCAAGTTATAATTCAGTTGTACTGATCCTTACTTATTTGTTTTTCTTTGGGCCAGGCATGTAAAGTTTAGGTTAGGAATTGTTGCCTGGGATGTTATGGTTGTTTTCTCTGTATTAACTTCAAATGGCATATCATCTGAACCAACAAAGTGGGTATGTATTTTAAAAACTTGAGTTAGGTGACATATTAAACATTAACTTGTGAAATTTTCTATTGCCTTAAAATCCTAGGCTATTTCAAATCTCCCCTCCATACGGTATCCCTTGTGTATAGAAGTGTGACTTTTGCACTTGGTATTTTTCGTTATGAGGGGAGTTTATTTCCCTCCCTGAGAGAGTAATGCTATTTATTTCTTTTAAAGCCCTTCTTAAAAACCTAAATTCACAAGCCTTTAAATAAATTCAGAGCTAGAGAATTTTCGTTTTGACATCGTCTTAGCAAACCAAGCCCCCTTACTGACACCTGCAGACCAGTCTCCTCTGCCGTCTGAGCCACTGCACAGGGATACTGTAGCTCCTTACAAAACCCATCTCCAGACCTGTTGTAGGGCTCCCAGGCCTCTGCTGAGATCATTTGTTAGAATGGCCATGTCTCACCCATGAGAAGAGAGGGTCTACCCCTTGCCCAGCAGCACCAAGAAGTTATTGGGAAATAAACTTTAGGCTGTATGCGGCGTAGATCGCTTTTAAAAAATAACATTTATTGGGTTTTTGGTTTGTTTGTTTTCTTAAATACAGAAGAGTATAAAGAAGAAAATAAAAAATGGCCTATAATCCCATCACTCAGAACTCCTGTTAACACTTAAAAACTAAAAGTAATACATGCACTTGATAAACAGTATCAAACAATACAGAAAGGTACAAAATGAAAAGTCTCCTCTTCTCAAAGGTAACCACCATCAACGGTTTCTTGTATATTCTTCTGGACAGGTTATTTTGTGCATATTGCAGCCTATACATATATAGCATTTAAAAATGATTTACATATACGAAAGGACCTTACTGTGTATACATTGTCCTGTAGCTCGTGTTTTGCGCTAAGAATATTTTGGAGAGCTTTCCATATTAGTAAGCATATTCAGGTCTTCTTCATTCTTTTAATAGCTGCATACTGTTTTATGAAAGGAATATGCCAACATTTCTTTTAACTAGTATCCTATCGTTAAATAGGCATGTGGGTTTTTAAGTGAATCATATTTAAGTATAGGCTGACTTAGTTTCAAGTTAACGATTTCCAAGCCATCTCTTTCTCACAATGAAATTAGGTAAGGAAACATCATAGTTTAGAGTCATCAAGTGTTAGAGATCATGAAATAAAAGAAAATTTACTCAAGGAAAAAGGATTTAAAAGTCTTTGTGACCTATAGCAAAATTCATGAGTAATGGAGAAAGTGTTAGTTACATTCTCTCTGGCCATATCATTTCTTCAATAGACCACTCAAGATGGACTCGATTGGTTGATATCAACTTAGTGCGTTGCCATGCTTTGAAGCTGGACTCCTTTGGCCAGTTTATTGAATTGTTGCCCAGCCTGGAGTTTATTTCACTGGACCAGATGTTTCGTGAGCCACCCAAAGTAAGTCACATTTGAGAGCATTTTTGTTTATTTTGATACTGAAGGAAGAAAATAAAACAACCTAAGTAATTTTTTTCCCTAATAATATGCCTTTACAGTGTTATAATTTGACTTTTTACTGCCAGCCTCAGTGAAGGAAGGCATAAAGGTTATAATAATGTATAGCCACTTGTTCTGGTAAATGACTATTAAGGGATTTCCAGAGAAAGGAAAGGAAAAAGTAAGTGCAAAGCTGTCTCCATCAGGTTTATAAAGTGAAGGTAAGAGCAAAGGTGGAAATTTAAGCTAAAGCAAAAGTTATTACTCAAGAGTAATTAGTTGGAAGATTGAATCTCTAATTAGCAACCCAAAATATAAGTAAGGATTAGGAATTTCGTTTTGGAAATGTTTTACTTTGCTGCTGCCTTTTCTGTTCAGTTGCATATCTGGGGAAATCTGAGGTTGCCCAGTTGTACTAAATGTTATTTTAAAACTGCTTAACAAATAAAGCTTTATACTCGCATCGTAATAAAAACTTAATGTTTCAACAAATTATGTTCGCTCTTGTCAGTTCTTAATGGTTATATTCCCACTGTTGAAGCAGTGTGATATAGTGGGGAAAGCTCAGGGTTTGAGGACAGATTATTGGGTTTCAAGTCCCAGGTGTACCACTTACTGGTCGTGCACTGTTGGGCAGATCCCTTCCCATTGTGCATGGCATCATATGTAAATCAAGAGTGATAACGCTTTATCTTGCTTGAAGCGTTCTGGGCCTTAAACGAGGTCCTTTATGAATATGTGAAAGTATTTCATAAAGTGCCATATAAATATTCTATGTAAAGATGAAATGAAGGAATATTAAAAACGCAGGGTTCTACACTAACCCAAATTAATAAGCATGTGGTTTCTTCTTGCTTTAGGGCTGTGCTCGGGTTGGTCTGAGTGCAGGCACAGGAATTGGGGTTTCCTCGGCCCTTGTTAGCAATCAGAACTCCAACAATGACAATGATAATAATGCCCAGAATAATGCCAACATCCACGACAACAATCACCATCACCCAGATGACTCAGACGAGGAGAACGACTTCCGGCAAGACCTGCAGCCAGGAGAGCAGCAGTTTGCAGCCGACGGTAACCCAGATCTTTTGTGAGCTCCAGATAGAAATGATTTTTACTTTGGGTCATATTTCTCTTACTCTCTTCTCTTTCCTTCACCGCCTATTTCAGTTTGTCACTTTACACATTGGGGGACCTTGCTAACAAAACAAATGAGGGGGGCTTCCCTGGTGGCGCAGTGGTTGAGAGTCCGCCTGCCGATGCAGGGGACACGGGTTCGTGCCCCGGTCCGGGAGGATCCTACATGCCACAGAGCGGCTGGGCCCGTGAGCCATGGCCGCTGGGCCTGCGTGTCCGGAGCCTGTGCTCCGCAACGGGAGAGGCCACAACAGTGAGAGGCCCGCATACCGCAAAACAAACAAACAAACAAAAAACAAATGAGGGGGTGGATGGAGTTTGCCTATCTGCTTGCTTATTTTAACGTTATCTTTGTGATGCCTCTTGTCCATAGAATCTATTGGGGTATGTACAGAAAGGGAAGGACTTAGATGCCATGAGAATTAAGGTACAGTGAGCCTTAGAGGCCTGGCTTAATGGAGATTTAACTGTCAGGATATGGTTGAAGGAGCATCTTTCAGTATCTTGCTGACCAGTAGATAGCTACATTGGACTTGAACGTGGAGATCATTTTTGGGTGTTCCAAGAACTGGAAAAATGAATAGTAGTCATGTGCTAGACATTGTGTTGGAAACCTTTCATATACCTTTCATCATTAAGTCTTCAAAACCACCCAGAAAATTAAGTACACGAGCTAATAAGGACCTATGGGATTTCACTTATGTAACTATCCATTCTAATTCTTTGATACTGACTGAACTCCTGCTGCGTGCCAGCCCATGTGTTATTAGGCTTCATCTGCCCCTGTGTTGATGAGTGAGAATGGAATGAAATCGTTTCCTTAACAAATTTTCCAGGTTCCCAGTTGACCCTTAAGAACTGAAAAAGGAATCTCTTCTAGCCACTATTTGGTTGTTGCCCTTTCACTCATTCTTTTAGGCAGAGTAATTAATGAGAAATGGGGTGCCCTGGTGTTATTAACTCCTTTCATAATGAAAGTATTCTGTGTATAGAGCGTAATTTCCTTTAGGATCACTGTGAGTATGCATGTCCTGACCTAAGAATCATCTGTAGGCATTGTTTTCACTTCCTTACCTCACATGTTCTCTATAGAACTGTCCATTTTGGCTCTTGCCAAAGTCACCAGTGACTCCCTTATAAAAAGACTAGTGGTCATTTCTCCACTTGCATCTTCTTTGACCTCTCATCTCAGCTGCATTTGTCACTGTTGTCCACTTCTGTCTTCCTGAGATATTTGCTCCTCTTGGCCTTTCTGAAACCATTTTCCTGGTTCTCCTATCTCATTGGACACGCCTCCTCAGTTTCCTTTGCTTGCACCACCTCCTCTATTCCGCTCTTGTCCTTGTTCTCCCTTTTTCTCTACACATTTTCTCTAGATGACCTCATTCAGTCTCATGGCTTCAGTACCGACTACATGCTAATGAATTCTAAACCTGTATTTTCGGCTTTGATATTTCTATTTTTTAAAGTAACTGCAGTTATATCCAATTTCATGCTTTTAATTTCCACATGAGTACTCTTAGGCATTTCAAACTTATGGCTAAATCTCTGCTCCTAAAATACAAAAACAAAAATGCAGAGCCAGCAGGTGCTAGGGGTGAAGGAGGGGGGAGTGAGGTCAGGTATTGTTTCTTTGCCTTGTTCTTGAGTGCCATCATAAGGATCTGGACTTCAGAGAATACCAGCCGTTCATAGAAAACTGTTACAGCAGCTGCAGTGCAGAACTCCTCAAATCCTACAAACGCAGTTGTGGTTGAAGCTGATGTACTGGACAGATTATAGACTCCACTAGAAAGTTACATGGCCATTGGCTTCTCAGTATAGAAAGTTACATGGCCATTGGCTTCCATTGTGAAGTCATATATTAATGCAGCAGGAGCTAAAACTTATGCGAGAACACGGTATTTGATTTAAGAGAGAACAATGGAAATTTAAATCTACTAACATTTGAAACTAAGGTTCAGTAGATGAGAGACATGACTACAAACCAAATACTTGAGGTACAGTATTTGTCAAATATGATATTTTCAAATGCTGAGAAGCAAAGGAATTAGTGACATAAATGCCAAGATTGAGGAATTCAACAGCTTCAACAAGAGGAAGCCTAAGAATACCAAAGATGGTGGCAGAATTTTAGAGAAATGAAGATTGGCATAAAACATTAGGTTCCATGGGTCTTTCCAACTTGGCAATATGTTTATGTGTATTTATTATTACATACATGTCAGGTTGATCCTTTTAAATAAAAAATAATGACCAGGGGAATTACCTGGCAGTCCAGTGGTTAGGACTTGGTGCATTCATTGCTGTGGCCTGGGTTGACCACGGGACCCACAAGCTACATGGCACGGCCCAAAAAAAAAGGGACCTGGAGAAAGGCCATGTGACTGTTGATCAAAACCAGGAGTGGTGGAAAGAATTCAAATAAAAGAAAGAGAAACAACTAACAGAAAAAACATAAAGAGTGGTACAGGGATTAAAAATAAAAGGGATCATTGGGAAATAATGTTAGTTGAAATGAGTAACACTGATGCTTCCACTCTTTAAGTACAAGCATAACAATATTTTAAATATTACTTTAGTTTGAAATGGGTATTCACATGTTGACTTTCCTTAATGTCGAATTTTAAAACTTTCCATGCATGAGCTTTTGGACCAACGCTGGAATGAAGCGGATTCACTCACTCTTTTACTCTGTTGTATTTAACTTAATCAGCTTGCAGGAAGTAATTGCCTATCAAAGAAGGGCACTGTATAATTTTAAAAGCAATTTAATTTGTATAAGTTGTGTCTTTGCTTTATAAACCACTGAAATAAAATATGGTGTTTTATAGCGAACATTATCATTAAGGTAATAGATGACTCCAACAAAAATATGCTTTTGTTGTTTTACAGAGTACTGTATTAATTTACCCAAATTCTGTAATTTGGTTAAGGATATTATCTTTCTTAGATTTTCACTTCCAAAAGTGTTAAGATTTAGAATGCTTTATTGTGAGCTAGTTATATTAACTGAAAATACAAGTTCATTACCTTCATTTTGCAGCACTGTAAAACAGGAAGAGATGTTCATATATTCTAACAATTCACATTGCCTAACATAACATTACCATGTGTCAAAATCATGATTCTGTAATTCCTAAAGCATTTTGCTACATTATTTTAATATAATTACTTTTGGAGTAATTATAATGACAAAGCATAGTTTTGCCTATACGTCATTTAACTAATTTTCTATCTGGATTTAAAACAAATCCCACATACTGCTTTTAATAGTGGGGTGCCACTCCATTCCCTCACCACTACCTCCACAAAGTAACCACTAAGTGAAATTGCTCTGCAGCACTTATTTTGGGCAATGGTTCTCAAATTGGAGTGCATCAGAATCACCTGGAGGACTTGTTAGACCAGGTTGCTGGCTTTCACCTCCGAGCCTCTGAGTAGGTATGTGTGGGGCCAGGTAATTTGCATTTGTAACAGGTTCCAAGGTGATGCTGATGCTGCTGTTTGGGAATCATATGTTGAAAACCACTGACTTTTGGAAAATCCTTGTTTTTGAAGTCTGAGGACCGGCTACAATGTGAAAAAAAATCCCTGGTAGATTCATTTTGTTTTCTGTTTGGGGGCAAATACTTGTCAACCGCTAAATAGTTATTCCTCATACTAGAAATTGTTGCATGCAAATTATTTTGTTAAATGTCAGTGACTTTTTAATTTTATAATGGTTAATGAAGGCTATAAATTTAGAATCAGGTTTTATATAAAAGAGACCAGTTAATATATTTGTTAAAATGGCTCAGATCCATTAAGGTTTATGATTATGTTTGGTGACAGGATTTTTTTACAACTGAAATAACATTTCTCCTGAACAGAATATTTAGTAAACATTGATACTTGATTAAAAGATAGCTTACATCGTTTCTGTAATTTAAAATTGTTCTGAAAAAGATGTACTGCCCAATGATAAAATATTTTGAAACAAAGAAAAAAAAAATCAAAACCAAGAATCACTTGCATTTTCCCTAGCCCAAGGGTAGCATCATCTCATTTAATTACCAGAGACATCTATTGAGACATTATCCTTTCTTTGCACCTACCTGCACTCCCCAACATCGAGTCCTTTAGCAAGTCTTGTTGACTGTCTCTAAAACATCTCCCCAATCCATCTACATTCTCCTTCCTCATTGTACCAGACCTTTTTTTTTTTTTTTTTTTTGCGGTACGCGGGCCTCTCACTGTTATGGCCTCTCCCGTTGTGGAGCGCAGGCTCAGCGGCCATGGCTCACGGGCCCAGCCGCTCCGCGGCATGTGGGATCTTCCCGGACCAGGGCACGAACCCGTGTCCCCTGCACTGGCAGGCGGACTCTCAACCACTGCGCCACCAGGGAAGCCCTGTACCAGACCTTTTTTACCTAAATGTTTTTAACAGCTTTCAAAGTAAAATTAGTTCTTAGAGCAGCCAGGGCAGTTTTTAAAAAACATGTACCAGACAGTGTTACTCCCTTTCTTAAAACTTTCCAGTAGCTACGCACTGCCTTAGAAAAAAATCCAGTTTCTTGATTTGGGCCATAAAGTGCTACATGATCTGGCTTATCCTCACCTTGTGCTACTTCCCCCCTGACACACCATGCATGAATGTGCCAAGCTGTCGCCAACTGCTGCCTCTTCCTAGAATGTCCCTCCCTCCATCTTTGCATGGCTGGCTTCTTCTTGATATTCAGGTCTTAGCTTCAATGTTAACCTCAGAGCTGTCTTTCCTCACGACCTTGATCTTTTTTTTTTTTTTTTTCAATTGAGGTATAATGGACAGTGTTTGTATATATTGCAAAATGATCACAGTGAGGATGTCTAGTAAACATCCATCACCATACATAGTTACAAAGTTTTTTTCTTGTGATTAGAAATTTTAAGATCTGCTCTTAGCAACTTTCAAATATGCAATACGGTATTAATAACTATAGTCACCATGCTGTACATTATATTCCCATGACATATTTATTTTGTAACTAAATTTGTACCTTTTGATCACCTTACCACTTTGTCACCAATTCATTCTGTTATATCATCCTTTTTTAATTTTGTTACATAAGATATTATTTTCTGATGTTTTCATTATTGTTGATTAAAAATTTTTTTTCCTTCCTCAACTGGAATAAGCTCCATGAAAATAGAGATATTGAATATTACCACTGTTTCTTAGCACCTAGAAACAGTAACACATTGTAGTAGGCGCTAAATAAATATTCAAATTAATGGATACAATTAAAGAAGTTAGCTTAAAATAACCTTGAGATATTATATTAAATATTTCCACAGGTTATTGTGGCAACCTAAAATGCAGTTGCTCAGCAGCTTTGGGAAACCTTATCACGTAGATATAAGAATGTACTTCTGTTCCAGTGGTTCCCTCTGCCTATAAGAAGCAATTCTAAGCTTTTCACAATCTGGGACCCAGACTACCTTTTTAGCTTTCTTTTCTCTTTCATACCCTCGTCTCAACACAAACTCTTGTTCTTTTTATCACTGGGCTACTTACTCTTCTGGAAAATGTAACGTGCTTCCTAGTATATAAAATGTCACCCCAACTCAGTGAAACCTTCCCTGTCGAACAGGAGAATTAACTGCTGCTTTTTTGTCCATGTCCCCCTTACTTGGACTGTTCTAGCACTTAATGAGTATATTCTGACCTTATTCTGTGTGTCTAACATTTCTGCTCGAAGGTGTGCATTCTCTGAGAGCAGGGACTATATAAATTTCCCATCTATTCATCATCCCTGTGTTGTAGCAGGCTCTGGAAACAGACCTCATTCCAAATCCTAGCAAATTACTAACCTTTCTAAGCCTCAGTTTCCTCAACTGCAAAAATGAGTCTAGTAGTAATACCCTTGTAAGATTGCTATAAGAAATAAATATGGTAATGTATATAAGAGCATTTAGCATAGAGCCAGACATAGAGTATGTACAGATTACTAGCCGCTGTTCATAATCACTATTGAATGAAAGAAGCGAATTGATTGGCTTTTATCATGTAATGTTTCCGAACAAGGTGAGTTCTCTTTTTGGCCCTAAATAAAGTGTAGTGATTGAGGGCTAGGGCTGGGCAAAAATTTGGGATGGGAGGCTAAACATGAGGGGGAATGTACTGTTGTGTATATTTAAGACCAAAGCAAACCCTACTGTCCCCCTGAAATCTCAGACTTCTCTGCTGTATATTCCAGTGGCATTTATCTGAGTGGTATCTTTCTGGCTTACTCATATTTTTATCTTGTTTCTTTGTTGACTGTATGACTTTGTCCTGTCTACTTACAAATTCTGTAGATTCTTTAGTTCTTTCTGGAACAGGATCTTGTTTTCTTCTGTGTTGGTTTATTCCTTTCATTCAGATGGCTGGCTGATTTCACAGCAGTAGTGTTGAGCACCCGAAGGCGTTGAGTGGTGTGCAGGGTAAACACAGTCTGCCGCCCTCTGGGTCCTGGCCAAGCTATAAATGTAAAGGACAGTATTGGTATTGTCCTGACTGAAACTGGGACCAGGAACCCAAGCTTAGGTGTAGGTAGTAAGAGGGTACTGGGTTGAATACTGACTTGAGGGATTTGGATTTAATCTTGTAAAAAGCTGGCAAAGCCAGGAATTATTTTATTTAGGATCCTCATAGAAAAGTGACTGTTGGGGCTTCCCTGGTGGCGCAGTGGTTGAGAATCTGCCTGCTAATGCAGGAGACACGGGTTCGAGCCCTGGTCTGGGAGGATCCCACATGCCACGGAGCAACTAGGCCCGTGAGCCACAACTACTGAGCCTGCGTGTCTGGAGCCTGTGCTTCGCAACAAGAGAGGCCGCGATAGTGAGAGGCCCGTGCACCGCGATGAAGAGTGGCCCCCGCTTGCCACAACTAGAGAAAGCCCTTGCACAGAAACGAAAACCCAACACAGCAAAAATAAATTAATTAATAAACTCCTACCCCCAACATCTTCTTTAAAAAAAAAAAAAAAAGTGACTGTTGTATCTTAAGAAGATGTAGTAAAGTGATTGAAGCTTATCAGTCTAATATTGTTCACTGTGCTTATCATCTGGAAAAATATAAACGTTCCCACTCACTGATAGGCACTAATAACCCTAGTGACGACTTAGATGCAAATAAAACATTTGAGTGATATTAAAATGTTAAATATGTACTTACTGTGTTTAATAATCCTTGCCACGCATTAGCCAAAAATGATGCAATCTCTAGAGAGCAGGAAAAGAAATACACAATTTGAGCTTGCCTGCTCAATGAATGCATCCTGATTCAACTGGCAGATACTATAAGACTAATTGCTTACAAGATGATCGTAAGGTCTTCCAGTAGCTGGCTCTCACTGCCATCAGGCAAATAGCTTAGAGGGAGACAAACAGTTGCCTCATACAGCCATCCCTGTTAACATCTTCAGTAATGAACAGGTGCTTTCTTCTTTCAGCTGTGCCTTTCTCCCTGCTTTCATCTTAAAATGATGGACTTACTCTACCAAGTGATCCTTTCCCATCTGTGATCTCCCCTCCTATAGAATTGGACACTCCTTATTGATGTCGATATAATGAAGCACAATTACATGATATTCTTTCTGAATGGGCCTAATGATCATGAGGCTGTTCATTTCTCAAGGGTGCCACAGTTTTGCCTGCCATTGTGGTTGTTTTAGACATCTGGTTTTATTTTGACTGTGATTATTTTTGTTTAAGCACTGAACGAGATGGAAGACATGGTTCCAGAAGATGGAGAGGTGACGGCTGAGAGTGAGCATGAGGCTCCAGCTCACAGTCAGGCAGTTATTCCTGTGGACGTCGACGAGGAACAAGCAGGTAAGTGTGTGACTTCCCACGTTCATGGTTCTGAAAACTAGGCCCGCCTCTAATGAAGAAAGTAAAACACTGAGAATGATTATTTTTTTCAACATCACAGCTAATGATGTGTTACATGCTGCTTATTTTTGACAAGGCCTGTATTACATTTTGATGTTCTTGCTGCGCATGTGTATACGTCTTATCAAAGTTTGGTTTTGATTTTTTTGTAACTGTGGCAGCAACTCCTCTTTCTATATTTGTACACACGTGCATATTTGTGCATGTGTGTATTTGTGTGTGTGTGTGTGTGTGTGTGTGGAGAAAGCAAGCACTCAAATTATAGCTAGGAAAATAAACACCCTGATTAAATATTCTGCTTGTCCTCTCCCTTCATTTTGGTGGGGAGAAGGAGCAGTGGAGAGGTTGATTTAATAAACAGACCAAGATCTAGTCTCAGTTTGCCATTGGGTCACTTACGGCAGGCTAAGAGTCATAGAGTACATAAAGATTACCTAATATAACCTTTCATCTTTACAGATGGGGAAACTAATATTCTTTCAAAAGTTTGAATGATTTACTCAAGACCACTCAGCTACTGATCAAAGGACAGAATTGAGATGAGAACTCAAGTTTTCTCACTCCTGGTCTGTTCAGATGCTACCTTGTCTTTGAATTGAACATATTCTTTAACTACTCTTGTTTTAAGTGTCTTACAGATGCAGTCACTTATTCAACAAATATTTTTTGAGTGTCTGCTCTGTGCTAGGCATTGTACAGTGTGACAGGGAAAAGACAGGGAAGGTTCCTTGGAGCTTACATTTTATTGATGGAGCAGATATCAGTCACTTGTCAGAGAAAAGTGGGTTGTAAGAGCTGAAGGTTGACAATGTGTAATGCCAAGAAGATAAAACATTTTTGACATAAATATAATCAAATAAGCAAACTGTAACATGCATCTAGCCTTTCAAGAACATGTCTGTGACATCCAGTGCATTAGACCTATACTTAATTAAAGAATGCAGAGTTCTCACCAGTCCCATAGGTGTCAGAGGCTCATCTTCATTTGCTTTGCTTTCATTCATACATTTGCAAAATTAGGAAAATATCTAGCCTATTTTTTAAATGATTATTATGACTATTTTTTTATTTCTTATTTTTATTATGACTCTCATTTTGATTATTTTTAGGATGATTGTGACTCTTTCAAACAGTGAAGATCCTGAAGGGAGATGCCATATGCTCTTCTGCTTTAATTTTCCTTTAGAGATATATAATGTTGGGTGGTATATTAATCATACTTAATGTTTACTTTAGAATTAAAGTGTTTTCACAGTGTCTTATCCAAGTATATGCTCATTAAAATGAGTGATCAGGGAGGCTGCATAGAGCCAAAGCACCTCTGTGAGCCCAGATCCCTGGAAACAGTACTTTGAGTGAGACCCTTTGTTGGGCAAAAAGTGACTGTTAACGCCTGTGCTGTTTCTTTTAGGACCCAGCGGTCTTCAGCGTGTAGTAAAACCAACCCCAATTACTGTCCATGACTCAGAGAGTGACGATGAGGAAGACAGTCTAGAACTCCAAGAAGTCTGGATTCCTAAGAATGGTGCCCGGCGTTTCTCTGAGCGTGAAGAAAAAGCCGGAGAGTCTGTACAGTCCAGGGAATTATCAGGTGAGAGACTGTGTCTTACTCTGACCTGTTAGTGAGAGTCACCATGAGAACAGACACACTGGCCTTTATATAATGGTGTCCCTGCCACAGCTTGTGGTGCAGTTAACATATCCTTACAAAATGTGACAGGAGGCAAGAAAGGCAGCAGCCCAAGCAAGAGAGGAAAATCTGGGTGGTGCTATCAAGGGCAGGTGCAGCACAATAAGAATATTGTGGAATTGGGGCTCAGGGAAGAGAAGATGTGAGGATTGTCAGTCCCACAGTGGAGGCTTTAGGAAGTTGTGGCATCAGAGTATCAGGGATTAGCAAGGGGCCTGTGCGTCACATAAAAGATGACAACTGAGTCATCCAGAGCAGTGAAAAACAACCATTCCCCAGTTGGTAATCTGTCCAGTTGTGTTTAGCGAATGTTGGTGGCTAGTTTGGTGCTTGAGGAAGTCCTAAAGTATGTTCTTACAATCCCTTGTCTCCCTTTAAATCCAGTCAACAACCTTCTGCCATTTGCCTCACCAAGAAACTGTAATTCTCTTAACTTTTAGGTTTATACTTCTTTCCTTGTCTTCCCTTCTGTTTCCCAGAACCATATGCTTACCACTTTCTGCAAAGGATGAGGTTTTTTTAAATTGTCTACTTATTTTTCCTTGGGTACCCTACTCATTAATGTATCTGAATGTTTAGTATACATTTGTATACGTGTAACACTGAACCTGAAATATATACACACTTCAGTGTATGGTAAGCTCAGTTCTTTAGACTTGGAATAACTTACTAACCACTGACTGATTACTCAATTCTCATTTTATTCCTTTTAAGAAATTCAGATATCTTTACACTGTGATTGAAAGAGCTTTAATGGACACTGAAATTTAGGAAAAGTAATGTGACCAGCTGACTAACCTGATGTTTCCTAGAAAGTTTAGTTTCTGAATTTAGAAACCAGATCTTCTGTCAGCCAGACAAAACATTATTTAAGTATTCTTTTGTATATTCATTGAGGCTTACTGTGCCCCAGGTACTGTGTTAGGTGCTGTGAGGGGTGAGATGAATAAGTCTTGATCTCTCTCTCTCTCTCTCTCTCTCTCTCTCTCTCTCTCTCTCTCTGTGTCCCTCTCTCTCACTGTCTCTCTGTCTCTCTCTCTCTGTAGTCTGGCTGAAGAGTCAGGTCAGAAACATAGATAACAATATTACAGGGCATATACTGCACTTGCTTTGGGGTGGGGTGCAGAAGAGATTGGACAGAGGTCCAAAGCAGAAGGATTGATGAGAGTAAAGGCTCCAAGGTAATAAGGCAGGGGTATATTCAAAGAAAAGTTTGGACTGGGGTGTAGAATGTTTATAGGGAAGACAAGAATGGAAAGTTAGTTTTCAGTTAGGTCACAGTAAGCCTTGAAGGCTGAGCTAAGGAGTATTAACCAGGTAGGCACTAGGGAGCCGTAGAGAACGTTTGAGCAGATGAGTGATGTGGTCACCATTTATACTTTAGGAAAATTAGTTTACATTGTTTCCTGTTCCAGATTTACTCTTGCCTTTTGTCCAGAATTTGTACTGAAATCTTTTCTTTTCCTCGGGCCGTTCTTCTTTTTCTGTAAGCAGTAAGTGGAAAAGGCAAGACTCCACTTCGAAAGAGGTACAACTCCCATCAGATGGGCCAGTCGAAGCAGTTTCCCCTCGAGGAAAGCAGCTGTGAGAAAGGCTGTCAGGTCACCAGTGAGCAGATCAAAGCCGATATGAAAGCAGCTAGGGATATTCCTGAAAAGAAAAAAAACAAGGATGTTTATCCCAGCTGCAGCAGCACCACCGCCAGCACAGTGGGGAACTCCAGCTCGCACAGCACTGCTTCTCAAAGCCCCGACTTTGTAAGGACGGTGAACAGCAGCGGCTCTTCCCACCGCCAGCACAGTGGGGAACTCCAGCTCGCACAGCACTGCTTCTCAAAGCCCCGACTTTGTAAGGACGGTGAACAGCAGCGGATCTTCCGAGCCTAGCCCTACAGAAGTGGATGTGTCCAGGCAGTGTGTCTGCTCCCCCGATGGGTCAGAGGACTCTGAGGCCATGGAGGAGGGAGATGCAGAGAGTTCTGTCTGCCCCAGATGCTGCTGTCACAGGCCCCAGGAATCCCAAAGGAGAACTAGCAGGTGTTCTGATGAGGAACGTCCTTCAACCAGCCGAGCCTGTGTTGTGAATGGCCCGGATGGTACGAGATCCGCCTTTTCCTTTAGGACTCTGCCACCAGGGGGGTCTTCAGGCCCAGCACATGATGAGAGGACTAATGGGAGTGGCTCTGGGGCTACAGGTGAGGACAGGAGGGGGAGCTCCCAGCCTGAGAGCTGTGACGTGCAGTCTAATGAAGACTACCCTCGGAGGCCCCTAACAAGGGCCAGGAGCAGACTCTCCCATGTACCGCTGGTATCTGAGTCAGGTATGACAACGCTGCCAGGATTAGCTACTGCAGGTTAGGACTTGAGAAGGGCATTTGCTCCTTCCATAAGTTTTCTTACATAAAGCCAGTTGGGCAAATTGATTTCTACATTGGGGTTCTGCGCTCATACAGATTTTGAGCTCACTTGCAGCGACGGGGTGGGGATGGGGAGCGGGGGAGGCATGTAAAACAGCTTGTAAAATACCAGCCAGGAGAGGCACAGAGAGTTAAGCTGAGACGAGTGCGACTGTGTGTGTGTACTGACCTTAAATACAGTGCCAGTCCCACGTCTCACTCCTAGTATGTAAACTCTGCTCCCGTCCCACACTGCAGAGGCTTAACTCCTAGTGCAGTTTTAAAACCTTAGCTGAAAGGTAAGGACTGGAAGTCGCTGGGCCTGGGGGAGCCTGGCATGCGGGTGCCCCCCCTCCACCTGCCTCTGTAGCGTTGAGTAATTTTTCCCAAAGGCTAGTTTTGCTGCCAGTTAGGCTTGCCAGGAGAAAAGCAGGTAAGTAAGTAGTTTAGCTGAGAATCATTTTGGTGAAGATATTCTCAAGACACATATACGTATATAATTTCATGAATAACATTTAGGTGTACGCCGAGGCATGGGGTTCGGCGGGGGTAATAAGCACGTTCCTTAATTTTAATCCTGTTTATATTTCTGATCTTAGTTTTAAATAATCTCTCCTGCCTTTATTAAGTCATGAATACCTGTCAATGAATAATAATACATTTTATTTTCTCTAAACCTTACTCAATTTAAAAATCTTAAAGTCAGCACCCAGTACATAGACCTCCTTTTTATCTGCTATTGCAATAAATAGAGCTGATTGAATCATGTGGAGCTAAACTAACAAAAACAAGCTTTCATAAGATAAATAGGAGATATTAATTAACTATGTGCTAATTATCATAGTAGCCTAAGCTCATATTAAAGTATATGAGTTTTATTTGCAGATTTTATTATGCTTTGCAAACATCAGTTCTGCCATGATGAAAATACTTTTCCCAGCTGGAATTTTAAATGGTTTATCTCTTTCTTTATACGTAACATAGGATTTACCATTTTAACCGTTTTGAAGTATATAGTTCATTGGCATTAGGTACATTCGCATTGTTGTGGGACCATCACCACTATCTGTCTCAACTTTTTCATCTTCCCACACTTAAAGTCTGTATCCATTAAACAGAAACACCTCATTATGACACCCTTTGTTGTGTGGTTTTTCACATTTGTTAAGTCAGATCTACATGTTTACTTTTGTGATTTCATTATTTTTATGCTGTGGAAAGCCTTCCCT